TCTCGCCGTCTGGGAGCTCCACCTTTAGAAGACGATCGCCTGCGTAGGGGGCCTCCACTACCGGCACCCACATGTGGTGCCGGACGTAGAACAATTTTTTCGGTGTCTTGAACGTGCGGTCGAGCTCCTCGTTTGGCGGCTCCGCGTTGCGCGGCTTAGCTGTGTGGGTGATAAGACGGGGGTCGCGTATCGGATCGTTCACGAAGGGGTCTTCGACAGTTTCAGCCGCTGGCAGCCCATCGGGACCAAGGTCGGCCATATCGATGAAGCCGATCTGGTATTGTTGCAGAATCTCACGCACATGTGGCGCCTTGTGAATGGTGAAGATGTTCCAGTACGGCTCAATGCTTGCGCCAGCAGCACGGAGGATCACATCGCCACCGGGATGCGCAGCGATCCAGTCTGTAATATCGTAGACCTTGTCCTCGAATGTAACCCACGGCTGCGAGGAAGAGGCATCGTGTTTTCGGATATCGGCGAGGCGGAAACGGGGAAGAGAGGGATCGCGATCGTCGGTCGAGGCAGGGGCCCTATCCACTACCCCCGGATTGTCCTCCGCGAGCTGTGAGTAAGCTAGAAGGGAGGCGGCGACGCCGCCGCCAACTAGGAAGCTCAGTGGTGCAGCCCGGGCTTGGTAGGGTGGCGCGCGCCCTGTTGGTAGCTTGGGGTGCGGTACCCGCGGCGCATCGTTTGAAGGTCGGCGGGCGCTGATGTGTATGTGACGCGGTCGGGGCCTGTAGGATCGGCATATTGCGAGCTCGGTAGCATCGCGTCGCCCAAACTGACGGAGGATGTTGGCCGCAATGTGTTTTGGCGTTCGTGTAGCCATGGTGAGCTGTCGCTGTGTGCCGCAGAGGGAAGGCGAGGATCAAGTTGTTGCGCGCTGGCGCCGTCTATCACAGCGCCTTTAGCACAGCGCTGAGCCCGTCGTGTCCCAGAAGATATTCTAGGTGGGCGGTTCGGTGGGAACTGCGACAGGTCACCAACGTTCCACGAAAGCACAGTGAGACAACAGCTGAGTGGCGCGGCGTGTTGTCGGATCTGGGGGGTCCAGGATTTGGTTGGTACTGGTTGGGAAAGAAGAGCAAATGCTTTGTGTCGGAACCTAATCTCCCACCTCTACCAATACCAGAAAACCCTCACCGCCTAAGGAAGGTGCCAAACACAATAAAGGAGTCATGTCTTCAGCGAGCATCTGCCACGAGAACAAGCCAGGAAGGAGCTCGGTGCTTGATGCAAGGGTTGTTGGCTGGTGCATCTCTGCGTCGACCGATGATTGCCGTTAGTTACGGCAATCGGGGTGGATCTCTTTTACGTCATGTTCTGGGCACCCTGCAGGCCGGAAAAGGTTCCCATACGCTGGAACCCAACACCATTGGCCAGCTGACCTCGTCTGAAAGTTGCCCGTGGATGCCCGTGACTGCCCGTAACTGAACCCCTGCGCGCCAGCTGTGGCCCAGACTCTGGGCTGCCGATGCCCGCCGAGAACCGGCAACATTCGTCCATTTTTGGGTTCGTTTCGATGTTTTGGACGGCCTTCACGACGGCGGCACCGAAACTTGGAATTGACTCATTTTTTTTTAATTTTTATTTTTAATTGAGCACGCAATCCAGGAATACAACCGCAAAGATGGCGAAATCTAAAGATGAAATCGCGAACAAGCGCAGAAAAAAACTAAACTCAATTGACTCATCAACAGCACACCACCCAGAGAAATCAGACAAACCCAACAAGACCGACCGCCATCCTTTATCTATCACAAGCAACACCGCCCAGCCCCGACCGCCGGACTCCACCTATCCCGACCGACCCGGCCCCGATGCCGCTCTCCACCACGGCTTCCCCGGCCGACCGAGCTCCCATCCGAACCCCTATCCGAACTTCCCGACCACAACCTCACCTTCCAAGCCCACCTACAGCAAACAGCAAACACCATCACCCCATCCCCATCTACGACCTCAACCACCTCGATGAACATGCCCCTAATACCCCCACCGCGTACCCACTCCCGCTAGATGAATCGCCGGCCCCAGCCTACGCGCCCCGGCCCCGGGCCCGCGCACCGGCGACGCGCCGTGCTCCAGCGGGTCAGCGTAGGACACGGTGCGCGCCGCCTTGGCCGAGACGCTTTTCTTGGGCGTTTCCTCACCCTCCTGCTGCTGCTGTTGTTGGCTTTCTGCCTCGGAGGCGGCGGCGGCTTCGGCTTCGCGTTGGGCCCGGGCTTGGTTGCGCGTTAGCATGGTGGGTGAAGGGGTTGGCGGGGTTTTGCGGGTTCGGGCTTGGGAGGGGGCTGGTGTTGGTGCCTTTGGGGGGGCTGCTGTTGCGGGGGTTGAGGTAGTTGGTGTGGGTTTCGGGTTGGGGTTGGGTTTGGGTTTGGCCTTGGTTGTCTTGGGTGTTGCTGCGGACTTGGCTGGGGTTGTTTTAGCCTTCGCTGCGGTTTTTGCTTTGGCTGGGACCTTGGCTGGGTGCTTTTCAGCGGCCTTCTGGGAGGCTTTTCCCTTCGCCCCCGTTTTCCCGGTCGCTTTCGCTGGGGCTGCTGCCGCCGGCGCCGACGGCGGCGGTGGTGCCGGGTTTGGCATCCAGGCTGCGGCTGCCCGCCTGGAGTGGGAGGTGCTCAGTGCTGAAGAAATGTTGAACTAGCCCTCGGGCGGCGGTGCCTCGCGAGAAGGGACACTGATTTTCATTCTGTCATGGTTAGCAATGTCGGGATAAGGAGCGAAGGTAAGAGTACA